CAAGTAAGGATTGTTTGTTATAAGAAACTTATTGGTTGGGTTATAATGATTGCATTTATTGTAAAATTTGTAAGAAATGTAGTGTTATACTTATAACTAATAAGTAGATGAAGTCATGGTGAGGTGGTGTATTTGAATGTTTAGTTGTTTTTTTATATCACAGAAGGCTCTTCCTTATTCGCCATTCGCGTCGCCAGAGCTCCCTACAAAGAGGCTGCCGCAAGTGGTAATACTTCTTTAATATGTTCGACTTGCAACCCACTTCGAATACTAATACACTACACTTCGAATGCAATAATGTAAGGATTTGTCCTCACGTCCCTCAGCATGTGACAGGTCAAGATCCCCAATATTTCTGAATGTATCGTCGCTATAGAAAGTTTTATTAAACTAGTTATGAATTCTTTCGTACCATACTAATGAAGACGAATGCGAAATAAATTTAAAGTATTTATTTTTACAGCGTATCGGAGATATTGCCAATTAATTTTTTTTGGGTAGGTTCGGCAACTGATGGACTATCGAAAAGGGCGATAATGGTGCCATCGATATTGAGGTGGACACCTTTATGTACGCTTTATATTTATTCCCTGAGGAGTGTGCAAGTAATGATTAGGGAAGAAATGAAAGCTAGTGTAAGAATATCGAACAGGCGAAGAGGTGGACGAAGGGAGTACGACAAAGTTATTGAGGACGAATTACGATATTTTACCACCAGGTGTCACGTAATGTCGTTTGACTCCAATTTAAAAAAAAATATTCTGTGGTTAACAAGCTCCATGTCGGTTTTAGTACTGTGTCAGTGAGCTGGAATAGCAGAACCGTTGACATAGCAAATAGGTACTTAAGACGTTTTCTTGAGTAGAGAAGTCCGTAAAGACGCTGGCAGTAATTGGATACAAAAATACTTGAACGTCGCAGGCGACATGTCACGGGGTTGAAAATAAAAAGATTCATTTATAATTAATTTATTTTAATTTAAACCGTATTTTATGACAATAGTTAACAAAATCGATTCATTTAAAATTAAAACAACAATGGTTATACATAATTTACATTGCTTTAATTATAACTCCATTCAATTATTGCGCATAAGTATATTTTATAAGTAAAAAATTCTAAGGCAACTTTCATAAATTTGTCCTATGTTAAGATTCTTCTTACAGGTAAGTATAATAAAGGTGATTAGAGGAAGGAGAATATTTGTAATTTAACTATAGGTTTGTCTATTTCTCGAAGAAAGGGTACGGTGACAATATATGATATTAGTTTCAAACTAATTCCCTCATCCCGTGTCTCAATGAATAAGTTTTCATTTTCATAGTTGTAGTTAGGCTTAAGAGGTAGTTGAGGACGTCTCTATTCTGGATTTCCGAGGAGCATACCAGGTAATATAGGTGCAGCGAGTAGGACAATCTTTCTTTCAAAATTCTTTGTTAAATTTTCAATTTATTCGATATACCAAAAGATGAACCTTTTATAAAAAGCAAACTCATATAAGAGTAGATGCGTCTGGTGGTGTCTGCCAATATTATCAGCAGGCTAATGAAAAACAAGTAGCATAAAGCGAGTGCGTTTTCGCTAAGTAATATATTTTTTTAACATAATACTTGCCTAGAAAAGCAAGCACTTTGTTTCTATTCTTTTTTAAAGTTACTACACATATTGAATCGCAAATAAGGCCTTTGTTTAAACCAGAGAAATTAACCAATAAGCTAACAGCTTTTGTTTTAATGAATTTTAGTCCAAAACCCGAGACAATAATAATACAGAGCCAGTGATATCTGAAAATTGTAGTAATTTATATTTGACTTAAAATCGCGATGGATCGATTTACTGTCTTTGCTATTTTAAATCAATTACAATAAATATTGATTATTTCTACGTCTTAATTTTTCAAGATGGGTGTAGGTGTTGAATTATGATTCATATTTATATACTTTTTGTTGTTACAAATACTTTAGGAAAATAATAAAATTAATTGTATTTACTCAAAATGATCAATTGATCACCGTACCCTTACTTTGCGAACTAAATGTGCTTATTACTAGGAAAGGTGAACAAGGCTAGACAAAATAGGCCAAAAGTGGGAATTTAAAAAAGAGTGAAAGGCAGATACATAGATTACCTAGGTACCTACTTAGGATGAAACTCAATGTTTTTTTTTTTATTTTTAAGCATTGTATTCTCTCAGTTTTACTATCTACTTAATATTCTTATTACACTATTATTTGTTTTATGCTTGGAAGAGAGTTATGAAACATTCTAAGGCACCGGTACGTCTAAACGACAGTGTGGAGTCCGGGGTATTGCCTTCACCAAAGATATGTGCGTGCGTGGAAGTGCAAATCTTATCATATCACTACGCACTGCGCTATTTTCCAGCTGGGTGAAAGTGTAGGATCATTGAGTCAATGGAATTAATACTCAAAATATTCTGAGTTCATTGAACATTTTTGAGTTTGACAACACTCTTATTAACTTCGCACGCCGCTAGTGGAAAAGCGAAATGTTTACGAAAGCATATCCCCAGACTTATTCGTGTCCAAAGCAGCCAATAAAGTTTGTACATTATTTTTGGCATATTTTTTTACAATTATTTACTCGTCAATTGTTAGATAAAAAAATAAATCTACATAGATAATTTAGCCAGCGACATTACAACTTTGGATTCGGTGAGATATTTGTACCGGAGTTACCAACATACTAACACTTTACTTGTCTACATTTATTTTTCTAAACTACATAAAGTATCTGGCAACATCGCTGAAGCCCGCTAACAAACGAGACTTAGCCAATATTTCTGATCGAATAAAGCGTAATTATTTTGTATCTTCATCGTTTACTAAATCAGACTAAGACTAATCATTATGTACACTCGACGATGTGTGTTCGACCACTTATGATGCTTCTCCTGCCTTTTGCAAAAACATGCGACGGGAAAGGTCCGATTTGATACTTTTTACTTCAACTACAGTTAGGTATTGGTATATGGTAATAATTTATTGTCTGATATAAATATAACTATTTATTTCGCTGGAAAATGGTAAATACAAACATCGTCGAACGTACAAAATAAATAAGGTAATTTTCTCTAGCACTTCTAGACGACATCAATGATATTTAACAGAAATTTATTATAATTCTATTCAGTGTAACGACACACAGTCACAACTTGGATTGTGTTATTCTAAACGTTAATTTAGTAAGTAAGTACCATGCATGTGTATTATTAAATTTGATAATGAACGTTTTGATATTCCACGTATTGCTTTATACAAGTACATCACTAACATATATTGTAATAGGGATGACGGACTTGGGTACAATATAAACACATTCTATTAATTATTTTAGTAGTCCATCAGACATTTGGATATGAATGGTGTTAGACACGTATTTTATGTTCATTTAACTGATTTATTTAACTACTTAATTAGATAAAGCGCATTAAGGTTAGGTAGTGGCGGTGCACACTAAGCCATAGCCAAGTAGCCCAAGTACAGAGGCATGACATCGCATGATAATATTCCGATTAAACATATCGCCAAGATTTCTTGATAAAATGAAAAAATACGTGTCTAATTTTTTTTATTAATCTATCTGATGGATAGACAAATGTTTTCGTCATCATCTCTATTATAAACAAAGGTATAAAATTTCTATACTTTACGGTTCTTGTACCTATTGTAACGTATTATCAAAATAGATCTTATTTCATAAACTGATTAAAGGCACCAAAACTTATAAACACAATCTATTGGACTAAAGTTATCTTATTTTAATACCAGTTAATTCTGCTAACAGATTCTAAAAGTGAACAATTGACTATTATTTTAATATACTCTGCCCTGATAGGTTTGCAAAATATTTATAGTATATGTTTAATTAGACTGAGAAGTGCTCTAAATGAACTATAACAAATTAATTGATACTCTGAATCTGAGCAAGAATAAAAAAGTATGGAACTCAGTGCCTATACCGCGACAAAATGAGAGCATTCATATGCAAAATTGCAAATCAGGAGCTAATTTATATTGTGAAACTTAACTATACAGAACACAACGGAAGATGGCTAGATATACTAATTTTAACTATTTAGGTTCAGAAAACATAATTACATTCAGGTATTGGGTATATTTTTCCTTTAGTATTCTGTTTTCATTAATATGTATGTATTTATTGCATCACAGAAAACTGTGTCACATTCATTAAGTATGTATAATGTATATATGTATAAATAATATTCTAGCTGTGCATGGCCAATATAAATATCTGCAAAAGTACAAAAATTGTCTGTATTATGATTAACAATATATAAAAAAGTGTTATAGACTACAGGCAGTTACCGTCAATAAATAATGGGGCGGTTAATTATATCAACAATATGTATAATTATTTAAAAGACAGTCAATATTATTTGTCTTCAACTCGTGTTTAGATATTCTTGTACACACCACTGGTATAAAGTGGTGTGCACACAAATTCAGTGGATTTATATTGCTCTGCACTAATGCTGTTTTACATAGCAAAAATATATATGTTTGCTCTATTCAAATACATATCTATTTATAGAAGTTATATAGCAATATATCTATAACTTGTGTTTGAATATTATATAACTGAATATATAGTACATATATAACGGTAAGCTATTGTCAGCTATAAACATTTCTACACTAATTAACAATGTGATCTGATAAAGAGCTCAGCATTTATACAGTTTCTTGAGACAGCATTACAGGGGTCCATACTACGACACCACGACACCGAAAAGACCCCGGATTTCGACTTAAGGATAAATTTTGTACTAAATGTTTTATGTTATTTCCCCAATAACGAGTTTTGGTATCGTAAAACCATTTATGAAATAGTTTTATAAGAGAGAGGCAACCTAAAAAATTTAGGGGAATGAGTGAGACTCGAAGGTCGACACGAATTTGTTTTAAACCGAATAAATAAGATAATAGAAAAAGGAGAAAACCTAACAAAGTTTATCCTTAAGTATTAAACATTTTTAACCCTTAGTGAACAAGTAACAAGGTATCAGCGTGATGGTGGCGTCATGTGCAGAAGCATTTAGGCGGTGCTACTGTTGATACCTTTTCATTTTCCTCTCCATCTTTTTCTTTTTCTTTTCATCTTGTTCAGTGTCCTGAGGAGCTTCTTGGAAGAACCATGGTCCAAGAACATTCTTCCAAAGCAGCCAGAATGCCCTCAGCGGTACGAGCAGCAACAGGAACCAAAAGTAGTTGGACAAAATGGTGAGAACATGAGTCAATGACGAGAGTATCACTATATCTTTGACATGCCTGGAAATAAACAATAAATACATCTTACAACTTTCGAATTTACAAGTGATAAGTACAATTTATTATGCTTAGCATATAATTTCGCAATAATGGCAAATAGCTTTTTTTCGAATAACTAACTACCCATTGCAGGCTTGCGCAATTTATAAAAGCAAATGACTTTGATCTGTGATTATGATATCACATTAAATAATTATAAACTTCTGAAGGCAACTTTTCCAGAGTCAACTTAATGAAAAGCAACCTATGTGTTATTCCAGACTATAATCATCTTTATGCAAATTTTGATCAAAATTCATATTCATCAATATTTAAAAAAATCGCATTTATTATTTTGGTAGAGTAATTACATGTGTAAGCGAGAGAGAGCTGATAAAACAATTGTATAAACATAATCACTTTCTATTGTCATCTTCATTAGGATGTGACAGGTCTAGGAAGCACAAAAAATTAGGGACAGGTGCAAAAAAATCGCTTGCAAGAATATAAGAAGCATGTAAATTAAATAAAAAAAAACAAGTATCAACATCGTTTTCAAATAACACATTCACTTACTACACCTAAAGGAATATTTAGATCTGAAGATTTGGACCTCATCATCATATTATTTAATAAGAAGTGTCAAAGAAAATACCCATATACAAAAAGATTTTTGATAGAACAGGTAATTATTCTAATTTATTTATCTCATTTTCTATCTCTTGAAGGTACATTTATTGTGCTTTAACATGTAAAATATGGAAACATGCCATTTAATTCTGAGCTTGATCAATAGCTGCTTACAATATTAACACACAATTCTTACACTACAATTGCATAGCAGGCAATAGCATATAACACAATACTTACTCGCCCATCCCACCTTCCATGTTCAAATCAAGACCTGGATCCAGGAGCTGACTGTTGTCAGTGTATGTTGGCCGGCTAATATATTTCATCATTTGGTAACAACCACCATAGATCAACAATACCAGTATATTCATGACCTGAAAAGGGAACAATACCAATGTGAAACATGTGAATGCAATCCTGCACTTTGATGTGATAACTAGAAAAGAAATGGCAACAATGTAAATTAGATATTCTGCAGCGCAAAATGATAACAGGCTTGATTTGAAATAGTTTTGATGTAACTTACGATAACTCCTGTAGTAAGGTCATCTAAATAAAGACAAGTAGTGACTAATCCATAAGCTGCAATAGCTACCAGTGACATATTGCGGTAAAAATTAAGAGTCCCCGAGTTCTCCATCAGAATTTGTTTAGCTCCTTTGGTGGGAGCTTTTCCTTTTTGCTGAAACATTACAATTTTCATTATTAATATTATGTTCAAAGTATTGCTGTTCTGGTTCTTGTTTGAAACGTAATTTGTGTATTCATAAAATTGTTTTTTCGGGTAAGGGCACTCTGAATACTAGGTAGTGTGAAAGAAACTCTTCAAAAAGGCATATTGTATTATTATCCTAATGAAGTGGAGAATAGAACACTCATCAATTAATGTAACAGAGGTTTGATATTGATACTTTTACAAGTTTAACCTACAAATTGAAAGAATTCATTGAATATTTATTTATTTCAAAGAAATTGCTTGATCATGCGGATGAAGTCAACTTACCGGGGCCATGGTTCCGGTTCTTCACTTGAACTTATACTATACTTAAAGCTACGTTATTGTAAATAATTGAAAAATATATTTTTATCATTTACACAACATCAAAATCATAGAGAAATTTTGAGTAACCTGCCAACATAGACTGCTTGTTGAATTCGTCATTTCATGCATTCGCGGACGACGTTTTCGTGTGACGTTGCCGATGATGACGTAGAAACGTCAAAGTCAATTATTTAATTTTTCATTGCTGATACACGCCTTTTTGCAAAAACGTAATATGGTAGCAGCAAAATAATAAATATTAATGGAATAATACATTGAATTGAGATTGAAGATTTTTTCTCATGAATATTATTTGTTCTGGTTATTTTATTACAAACTTGACTAATGTACAGTTCATCCAACAGATGGCGCTATCTGTGTCCAATAGCGCAATTTTCGTTTGCAGCGTAGACAGAGGTCTACGGTTTGCAGCTATAGTTTTGGATGTTGTAAGGGCATTTTGTAAAATAAACCAAGCAAACATACTGTAAAAATCGGGTTATAACACCTAAGCGAATTTGTTTATATCCATTTTTTTGAACTTTTGAAGTAATAAAATAGACCTCCGTATAAATTATAACCGTTACTTTTTCTTAGGTAAGTATGTACCTGTGGTACCTACCTATTTATTTATCTCAAACCGAAATAGCCATCACGAAGTAATTTCTCGAGCGTACCTACCTCGTTAGTAACATCAACTTAGTCATTTCTTTAAATCATCCATGGACTGGCAGAGCCGGTTCGGCTGGCAGGATCATTGTCCCATGGTTCGCCGGCAGGAGGTAAAAATTACCAGACTGAAGGTATAGTAGATATTTACCTACTAGTACCTATGCTCGATGAGTACACTGAACATAGAGCATCATCTTTGAGGAGTGGTTAGAGAGACGTCATGGCGTCCTCACCTTCTGCTTGACGGAAGTGCTTACCGGACTGAAATGCTTCTGTAGGTACATACTTGCCTGTTTCGGATCTGGCGGGAGGAAACGCACAAGTTTCGTGCACGAACACGGTGGAGCATTGGGTGGCGGTGTGCCCTGCTTGGGCTGAGCACCGGTGTGACATCAGGGAAGTGTATGAAGTCCGGTCTTTTTCGAAGCCATGGTGTGCAGCGAGAGGAACTGGGAAGCCGTTTCCTCTTCTTGAAGCAGTAATGCTCACAAAAGCTCGTGAGGAAACTATCCTTGTCACGCCACAGTTGGGTCGATGTTCAAAGTTAGTCAGTTACAGTATCACATTCCATCTCACTCCAGCCAGGGCTAGTCATTTCATGATTGTCACACCTTAAAAAAAGGTCCAGCTTACCTGTCTAGATACTAACTATAAAAATGTGAAACCAGTATTATTTATAAGCTTTGTTAATTGAGAAAATACCTATTTTAATTATATTGGTACCCAAGCGGTTATGGCCTTACGTCACGCCACCAGGTCCGGAGGTTAAGTCGGTGTGAAAAGCCTTCTCCTTCATGAAAAGCGTTTAATGAATAGTGTGTTTTCGAAACATGGTAGGTATGTACTAATGTAATCTTTTCTGAGTTAAATGTACTTTCTAAGATTATTTAGAGACCATTGACTGTCAAAGGATAATATCGCAAAGAAATCTGGGCTTAAAATATCTAAATAAGTACCTGTTTTGAATCGACAATCCGTCTTGGACAAGCGTGGTGACTAAAGCTGAAACCTTCTCCGTGTGGGACTGTGGGCACTTGGTAGGGTTGATAATATTAAGTGGGTATTATTATTATAAGTAGGTAAGTACCTAAATTACGTTCAGTTCCACTATGTACTATTTGTTTATTAGGTACCTACTGATAATTTTGAAATGTAAAATCCCTATGTAATGTTTGTTAAACGCGCTTGCAGCTTACAACTTAGCCCAGCTTAGAGAAGAGAGGCAGCTGTAAACTTTCCTTGTTCATAACCTATTAACTAAACGTTTTCAACTCAATAAACACTGTAGCTAGGTTTTCTTTTCAAATTCGAACTACCGACCTAAATTGCAAAGTTTGTTATATTATTAATTTGTCGAAAAGTGCTTCCTGTGTTAACCAAAAATAAGTACTTAAGTAGTTTGTTTGTTTGAACGCAGTTATCTCCAATAGTACCTACTGGATTAAACCTTCAAAACTTCAAGAAATGAGCGTACTCCTTTTTTAAAGACTTAGACTCCTCTGGTGTTTCAAGTGCATTTGGGCGTCGGCGTCGCTAATCACTTAACATCAGGTGACCGGTCGCCGTAGGTAGGTAGTCGTTTGCCTCCTATTTCAGATAGTAATCAAATGGGAAAATAGTCTTGGACGTAACTAGAGGTTGACACTTTAGAGGTATGAGGAACAGGGTGGAAAGTTCCTCATCCTCCATTGAAAAGGGAGGATCCTCCGACCAGGCGAGGTGTTCGTGCCTGGCTGGGCTACTGCCCGACGGTTGTTGTCGGGATATCTGTATGGGTGCTAATTGTGTTGAAAACTCTTATAGCGCGATGTAGAATCTTGCTCGTGATTGGTGCTGTTGTTTATGTAGTGCGCTAGATGTCGCTACATCACTCCCCTCCGAGACCGGAGGTCGTTAGCTGGTTGAGACGTCTGTGAGATTCTTGTCGAGCCAGTTGATGGTTTCAGTGCGTCGAATCTGTCTGCGAAGGTGCCCCAGTGAGTCGGGTGGTGCAGTGCTGAAGAGTGGCTAGCTGCTGCGTCGACCAGGAGAGGGAGTACGTCTCTGCTAGCTGACCGGCCGGTGCAGTACGCTGTGCCGAAGATTCTGATGAGGCTGTAGGTGCTGAAGAGTGGCTAGCTGCTGCGTCGACCAGGAGAGGGAGTACGTCTCTGCTAGCTGACCGGCCGGTGCAGTACGCTGTGCCGAAGATTCTGATGAGGCCGTAGGTGCTGACCAGGAATGCGCGTTGGCTGCATGCTGGTGGTCAGGGAACCCGTTGTGGCCGTGGAAGCTGGCTGACTGTAGGATTCGCTGCTTGAAAGCTCGACGTAGTTGCACGAAGGCTGCGTTGATGTTCATGCTCGGGGTCACCAATTTAGATGGTATGAGGAACAGGGTGGAAAGTTCCTCATCCTCCATTGAAAAGGGAGGATCCTCCGACCAGGCGAGGTGTTCGTGCCTGGTGGGCTACTGCCCGACGGTTGTTGTCGGGATATCTGTATGGGTGCTAATTGTGTTGAAAACTCTTATAGCGCGATGTAGAATCTTGCTCGTGATTGGTGCTGTTGTTTATGTAGTGCGCTAGATGTCGCTACAACACTGTTGTCAAAAGCTAGTTATAAGTAAGCGAGAACATGGCTGGCTGCCTTAGGCCTCGTTTACGATTCAGCGGCGCGTTGTGCGGTGCGATGTGCGGTTCATCATACATTGCTCGTGATGTTCTTAAGTTTGTGTCTGCACGGCCGTTGACACGACTTGATGCTGTAATGTACGATATACGAAATACGCGCCGCGCAACGAAACTCGTGGATGTAAACGAGACCTAAATCATATAGGTACCAAAGATTAGATATTTTTAAAATGCAACCAATTTTGAAGATTCTTTCTTGTAAAGCAAAATTTTCCTATGACGGAGTACCACAGGTGGGTACCGGCGGTTAACCGGTACATCCCATATAGTAAACGTAAAAATGTGTAAATATGGATGGATGTTTGTTACGCTTTAAAGTAAATAGAACTAAACGGATCTGAATGAAATTCGGCACAGAGATAGATTGTAGTCACAGTCACACTACGTAGTCTCTATAAAAGTATAGAACCAAGTCGCTTTCACTGTCCCTATCTGCTTCAAAAGTTCAATCTTTAAAACTACGCAACTAATTTTTGATGCGCTTTTTTAGTAGGTAGATATAGTGATCGAAGAGAAAGTTTATATATGTATAATAACACCCATTAAAAGTGGAGAAATTAATAGGTATTAGAATTGCACCTATGCGATCGATGCCGGGGCGGGTATCTAGTCTAGAATAGGCTATTAAATATGAAATAGCCAAGCTTTGGCGCTAATATATCGGCTCGACCGGAGCGATACCACGGCTGTACAGAAAACCACATCATTGTGTCTCCGGCAACACACTCGTATCTCCTCTGGGGTTGCGGGTGTCCATTTGCGGTGCCGATTGCTTACCATCAGCTAATCCATCGATTCGTTGGCTGACTGACCTATCTCATAAAGAAGGTAAATTTTTACTCTGACACTATGTGTAAAGCCGCTGTTCGAACTAGTAATTTAAGACAATAACATGATACTTGCTACAAGAGATAAGTATTTATAACATAAAACAGTCGTCCTTGCTAAATATCTAAAAGGAGTGATGTTGATTGTATACATTATTATGTAAGTACCATGTTATCTAGCGATGTGGCGACACATGACAGACCATACGATGATGGAAGTGTCCTGCTGTGCGCGACATAATCGTGTTGCATTGTCCGATCATTGTTTTACTTGCGACACTGCACCTGACGTATTTTGACATCACTACCTATATTCGGTTTACCTACAGCAAGAATTCGATTTCGCAAAACGTAAGAAAGAAAAGCAGTTTATTTGTACTGTTAATATTAGGTATAAAATAACTTTGTCTAGATCAAAATTGTTAGTAATTATTAGTAAGATAATATATTGTAGATATTGTAGTAAGTGATGATTATCTCATGCGCCCCAGCCGCCGCAGTAGGTACTAGAACCAACAATAGCGAATGGTGCGTAGTGTTCCGCGCGCCAAAAAGCCAATAGACTACCACAGATGGGTGCACTAGGGCCGATGTTCAGTCAGGGTTGCCGCGTTACAGGGGCGCCGCGGGGTATGCGCCGTAAGGCACCGCGGTCCGGCGTAGAACAGGAGAAGGAAGAGGGGGGATAGTTTAGTCAGTAAGAGCCTGACACACTCTCCCTGGGCGATGGGCGAGAAGCCACTAGATGATTTTTCCCTCACAAAACCGACCTCACAAGAACGCCAGTCCGGTGCAGGGGAATGCCTCTCGCTGTCAGATCAAATGATACAAAAGATACCTGATACTTATTTGCGGATTTATTCCTAGTAAGTAAATAACATGGACCTACCTATATCAAGTGGTGCAGTACCTAGATGTTCAGGATTTGATTGCTCCGAAATAACT